GTATTGAAGAAATATGTTATAAAACCAAAAAAACTCCAAATATGCATTTATATGCAAAATAAAATTTCAAAATTAGCTTTGTTTGAGCATGGAACATATTTGTTTCTTACTCTGCTACTTTTGTGATGGTACAAAACAAATAGGCAGACCATGTAACAAATCTGGCAAATGATACAAGTCCTCTGCCCTATTAATAGGTATGCAAATATTTGGTCGGTAAGCTATTCGACTATGTCGGTGGGTGATTGATTTTGAAAACAAAATTTATTTTTGGAATAAAAAACCAATTCTGTTGTATAAATAAAAGAGCGGGCAAGTGGATGTCGCTCTGCTGTATGGTATTTTACAAGTGGCTCACTGTAATGGACGGTGTTAATTTAAACTTGAATTAAATGATACAAAATCATTGTATATTAAAAACAATTCATTGCGAAAAAAGTCTGTCAGCCTATAATATTATTAATATATAATTACTATTAGTATTATATTATAGTATTATTGAGATTAAAGTAATTTATTTTGCATTAGTAGTGTTGAAAAAACTAATTTAAAGTGTTCAAACCTCATAAAAACCGTACACTACTGAGCTAAACGTGATCTGCTGAACGTAAAATTTGATATGTTACGCTCTTGTAAGACGGAGACAACACATGCGGGTGAAGCGTCCTCTTAAGAGGATGTTACCCACGGGTTTGTTGTCTCCGTCTTACCAACTTACGACGTATCAGATTTTCGTTCACTAATTTGAATAGTGTGCCGTTAGTTTTGATATTGGAGTGAATTTAAGTATTATCAAACTCTTAAGTATGAACATCATCTATGCTTGAGCGTCGGCGGATTTTCGATATTCTTATTTTCAAGTAAGATACGAGTATGTGAAACAACACAAATCAAAAATGCTCATACCTTGATTGACAATTAAAATGTCCAAAAATCCGCTGATGCCTAAGCATAGATAATGTTCTAACCTACAACTTTGAAAATAGGTGAATTCACACTAATATCAAAACTAACAGCACACTATTGAAATTAGTGAACGAAAATGTTCTATGTCGTACCTCGTACGTGTGTAAGACGGGGACAACAAACGCCTGATTAATCTTATTTATACTAATGTTCTTAATCAACCTTTTTTCTAGATTATTGTGGAAATACATTTTTGATATTTTTTTTAAAAATTGTTCCTAAATCTTCTTTTGGTTTCTTAATTTTTTTTTTAATTTTTATATTTACTTTAGTATCTTTTTTAGAAAGTTAGACAGTTATTCCAAAATCGACCTCCACAATAACCTAAAAAACACAACGATAAGTACGTCTAGAATCTAGATTGATACAAACTAGTTACCTCGTTGGAACAAAATATTTTATTTCACCGAATGCAATGACATGTGCATGTGAACCCCTAATTGTTTTCCCGAAACTTTCGATGCCAGCGAGCAATGCCAGCGTACCTAAATAGACTTATTATTATTCGGGGAACTTGCTCAGACTAATGATCAGTTACTTAGCACACACTCGCACAGCAATTCCCAATGTATATAATATTGCCTATATTAAACTCCTGAAAAACGACACGCTTTCAACAGCCTTAACTCGATAGTTAAATACAAAGGTATAAACGCATTTTCAAATCGGATTAGTACAATATGCATTCATTATACTTAAATAGTATAACGCTATTGCTGATATCGATCTAACTTGAATTAAAAATGCATTAAATAAGATAAACAATTTGTCTGGTAAGAACAATTAGGTACTTAGTAGGTACGCGGTTACACTATTTCACAGTTACACAGTTTTTTCTAGCTTAATGCCTTGAAAAATCAGTGACTAGAATTGTGAAATTTATTCCAAACCGATGTATACTAATTGAGTTCCAAATCCCAATACCGGAACGGAAAAAAAAATAATATTCTAATTGAGAATAATAATAAAATCCCGGAGGTAAACGAAAAATATACTATATAATCGACTCAATAAGTTGGAAACCGAAAATATAGGTACTAATTGGATTGTTTTAAGTAAAATATAAAACCAGCCATAATTTATACGTATATGAAGAATTGTAGACGACCACATATCATTTTTGGGACTTTAATATATTATTATAAAGTGATTATCACATTATATTATATTTATATCGATATAAATAAGAAGGGCAAGTGGATACCGCTCTGCTGCATGCATGTACACTAGGTATTAAGAGGCAAGAAGCGTCACTGTAAAAGATGTGTAATCATAAAAATGATATAATACCATTGTGTACGAAAAACAATGCTGAGCCTTAGCCTATGTAACTAGGTAGGTAAGTATACTTTAAGGTATTATTGCTATAAATGTCATTAATTTTAGTGTCAGATGTTATAGTAATACAGCAGGTAGAATTAATTTTTGACCAACAAATAACATTTGAAAATACTATAAAGTATGCAATATAATAGAATACTTCGAAAGTTTCAATAACACACACGAATGATGTTTTAAATTTGAACATAATAATCAAATTCGTTTTTTTATCGTCTAAATTTAAACTTAAAATATTTATGATAAAAATTTAACGTTTTTATAAATTTTTATAAATTAAATAATTTGCATATTTTCGAAATTTTGACGAATTTAAACTTTAAATGCTTATAAAAAAAAATCGTATACTTTAAAATTGTTATTATAATTACTTAAAATCGACTTGTTTTTGAAGCTGGGCTTATTCAAAATTATCTAGTTTTCCTTAAATAAAAATACATTTTAATAGTTGTTCGTAAAAGGAACTGTTTCCTTTCACTTTTCCAAAACGTACATTTTAGGTATTACCATTAATTTAATGAAAATACTAAAAAGTACATTTTGGATTATTCTGTACATTTTGAAATTCCCCAAAAATGAGGTTTATACCGAGTTAAATAAGGAATAACTTTCTCTAAGGAATCGATGTAACTTATTACATACAATACATTACAAACAGTGGGCTTCAGTTAATATACATTGGTTATAGAGTTATAAAAGAGGATATATAGCAAATCGCTTCTATATTTTATATATTCCAATAATTTAGCACAACTAAGTATTTTGTTGAATGTCACAGAATAACAAACTTTTATTGACATAATAAAATAAATAATAATTTCACATCAAATAGTAGTAATTATTTATTTATTAAATTATTTAAATTGTTTGGAGTTCTTGAATTTATAATAGCATTATGTGTAAACATTGGTATAAAACTATAAACATGTTAAATATTTCCTATCAATATTTAGTATTTAGAAAACTTTTTCTTAAAATGTTGAATGTTTATAAAATAACTTTAAAGAAGATTTTATACTTGTGCAAATGTATTGGTATCATTAACATGTCTTACATGTTAGAACCGGATGGATTATTAATACAAAGCACAGACACTACATACAAATGTCTTGAATTCACACGAATGATTATGTTAATAATACTCACGTATTATATACACATAAATGATATTTTTATTCGCAAAATATATTTATGGAAATTTTGGTCCGTCATTATTGCATCAAGAATATCGGAAACGCGGGTGATACAGTAAGATTTTACGTATACAACACCAATCATTACAATTACTAACACAGTAGGAAAAATTATTTTTAAAAATGTAAAATACGTAAGGATTTACTCATTTGTGGAGGGGGGTGGCAGACTATGGAAAATGTCCCACTCTACATTTTTTTTAAAAGTCTGCAATTCTGTACATTTGTGCTAACTATTTTGTACAAATTGTACTCAGAAATCAGATATTATTCTCTTTTAGATAAATTCACGGTTTGGAAAACACTGACAGTTCATGACAATCGTTATTAATCGAAACACGTCTTCTGCGTAATATTTAGAGAAAATCTAAAAATAGATATACATGGATTTACAACAAATTGTTAGTGTTGATAACATGGAACACCGATTGCCGACTACCACGATGACATCTAATCACTAATCAGTATTACTAGTAAATATTTAAATTAAATAAGTTAAAATCATAGATATATACAACAATATGTATATATATATGCATATGGTTAAAATTGTTTAATGTATTAATATTTAAGATCTATAAGTTAATTTAAGTATGGTAAAGTATTCAATACACAAATAATTAAATTATAAATATTTGTTTATTTTTATTAGATTTATATTATTATTCTATTACATTTATTGATAGGTAACTTATCGGATATAACATATAAGTAAACGAATTAATGTTATACCGTCTTTAAGTTTATTATTTAACTAGGTAAATTGAAACACATTATGTTCTTTGTTTACCATCATGATTCATGAGTTCATGACATCATTATTTATCACTGATTTTGATCCCATACATATTTTGTTCCGAAAAATTATTTTATTGATTGTCCATCGTCCATAAATATTAAATATATAGGTAAGCATACTTATTTAAGCATTACAAAGTCGGCAAATTTAATCAGTTGCTCCACTCTTTCAAAAGCTGAAATAACGGCCCTGGATCCGCTCGCAGCTTACTATACTTCAGTACTTGTAAAGTATACACTATACAGTGTATACTGTATAGGTACGTTGTATTCGAGTGTACTACATCATAGACTACGAAAAATAGGTCTCATTCAAACTCGTAAAAAGTTAAAAATGCAATGATAAATCTTATAGTACGACAAGCCAACACACACAAGAAGAAATCATAAAAAAAATTTGAGTTTAATTGGCAAGGGATTCACATGCATTTTTACAACCTATACGCACATTTCTAATTATTTGAATTATTAATTTATAATTTATAAAATTGTAATCAGGATGGAAAAATAAACCTAACCTTTGGGAGTTAAATTTCATTACATCATTATCAGACATTCGCAGTATAAGTAATTCATTTTTTAATGGAAGTGTTATATTATATTATCCATTCGCTTATTTACACCGTTGTCCCTTTGATTACCCGTTTGTATTGATAATTAAATACCTAATCCGTTTTTTCTTCGTTATGTTTTTTGTATAGGTTGATGAATGGCATCATCGAGTACGATCAAAAACTAACATCACTTCCAAGATTTTTATTGATACGTCAGCTTTCGCAAAACAAATTTTATTGGAACATAATTTTCATATTTACGTTAATTTATCATATTGTTATTATACTCCTGTCTGTGTACATAATACCGCCGAAAACCATATTTATTATCTGTCAATGCTTTATTCGGGTTGAGTTCATCCAGGACGTAACAGTAATTTTTTCCACAACCTTTTTCCTTCAACAATTGGAGTATAGATTTCAAACGTTGAATGATTCTTGGGAATATCTTCTACCCGGATTTCCAGCTGTTCCTAATGATTTAACACAACCCGTAACAGGAATGACACTAGATAACTTACGGTTGTTACACGCTGAACTATCTGACCTATTAAGAATATTCAGTAAGGGTTATGGGCAAATGCTATTAGGATTCTTTGTATTCAATTATATTAACATGGTGGCCTGTTTTTTTTTTCATATTCTTTTTCCCATGAACTATGTAACGGATAATGAATTCAAAATTTACGATTTCGCAGTAAATAGTCTACCATATATTTTCTGGCTGCAAAATATGGTATTCATTTTATCTATTATCATTGGTGCTTCACGAGTACATGATAAGGTAATATATTTTATACAGAATATCTAAATTGTATGACCTATTTAAAAATTGTAGACTTTAATTATACTTACACGTGTTGGCCGGTATAATATGCGTCTAGGATAGAACTATGTATTTTTCATAATATTTTCTTTTGTGTAAATTATAATATTTAAATAAAAATGTTATAATGGTGTTTCATACCATTAAAATACTGCCGTGCTAAACGAAAAAGCAGTATCTCCAATTTTGGTCAAAATTTGATACCTGGGGGTTAACAATGTGGTTTTGTACCATTTTTCTCAGTAAAAAAGCAGTAAATCCAATTTTTAACATTGTAAATGAGCATTTGAAATTAAGAAAATAAGCAGCAAGTCCACAATTTTTGTGAAGCTAGAAGCAAAAATACAGTAAATCCCAATAAGTAGAAAATAAGCAGTAAGTGACGTGGAGTTACTGCTATTTCTCTTATTTTCAAAACATTTTAAATCGTAACTAAAAACACAGTATCTCCGTATTTACTATTTGATACTTGGTAGTTGGTGTATTATAATATTCTGTAGTTACAATCACGGTTTTAGATATATATTAAAGATATATCAATCGTGGTCAAAACTTATAAGTTATAACACACAGCTGATATGTTAGTTATCAATTTGATAGAATACTATTCGCGATAGAAAGCGAAGCGGCTGACATCTGGTGGCGGCGGCATGAAACGTTGTAACGGGGCTGACGTGAAAACTGGTCCATGAAATATGAATACAAAATATATTGAGATTTGCTCACAATTTATTAACCACGAATTGTTTTTAATTTTTATTACACTTTTACATTTAGTAGTTAGTAGCTGCTATTTCATAATAATTATATGGATCACTCGTATTATGCCACAATACCAAAAACTCGAAAAAAACATAAACACTGTCATGTTCCACAATGCAAAACAATGTAAGATATTTTCTTATTTCTACTAAATTTACAAATTATATTCTCTGTGTAAACATGTCTGAAATATTTATTTTATTTTCATTCCACAGACAATACCAAGATGATGTGTCTTTCCACACTTTTCCTAAAAATATTATCCTAAAAAAGAAATGGGAGCATGCTTTAAAAATGAATATTATTAATTCTACAAATAATATTAATGTATGCAGTAAACATTTCATTAAAGATGATTTTTTACAATTTAAAACAAGTAATTATTATTATAATTATGTACCTACTAAAACTAATACTCAAATTATATACAATACCTACCAGGGGCTTGGCCAAGAATGTAACGGGTATTATTTTAATAATTCCATAGAATCATATAAATTATAATATAATTTGTTGTGTTACCTACAGCTAATTCACCACGTCGAAGGGTAAAATTAAAACTGTGTGCGATTCCCTCCCAAAACTTACCCAAACGACTTTTTGAACGACCAACTCCAAGTCCATTAAAAATGAAACGGGTCCAAAGAGCAGAAAGATCTACTCGTCGAGATCTCATGTTTAAAGGGTAAATTATTAATAATTTTGATCTTAAAATAAGTGCAATAATGTTTAACATACATTTTTAGTGGAAAAGAAAATAATTTGGATTCAAACATTTCACCTGAAAGAAATAATACACCATCAACAGTTCGACGAAAAATTTATTTCTCCAGGTAAATTCACCATTTTAAACTTTGAATAATCAGTACTTATAATTTAAGAACCACCTCATAAGTTAATAATTAATATATAGTGTGGTTTTTTAGCGTGATCATTCCACTTTCAAGTCTTAATAAATAATAATGCATATAAAATTGCTGTATGCATTGCTGTAGTTGTATTGTAAAATTAAAAGCACAATTAACCTAAACTTTTTTTATCTCAAAAATGTAATCCATGTATAAAAACAGAAACTAAATATACTTGTGGAGTGTTTCTTAATTATTAATATTTTAAACTAGTGAACATAAAGAAGTACCTGGAGAAGAGTGTCTGTGTGAACATTTGCCACTTGATGAAGATACAGCTGTGGAACAAAATACTGAGTCATCTGTGACTGCAATTGATACCACTTCAAAAGATATTGGCATTCAAGTTGACCCAGCAGAATTTTTAGTCATAAATATTACTCTTATGGACTTAATAAAGTCAGATTCAGATATTAATTCCTTTACGGGCCTTTCAAAAATAGGCTATTTAAAGGATATTGCTAAAATATCAAATATTTTAATGGCTAAACTGCAGTACACTATACAATTTTCTTTAGACATAGAAATGCGAATATGTTTAACTTTGTGTAAGTTGAAGTTAAATATGTCCTATAAAAGTCTTTCAGTGTTATTTGGAATAAGTGATACATCTTGCAAAAATTATTTTATAGAAACGATCAATCTTTTATTTCTGATTTTTAAATCAATGATTGTATGGCCTTCTAAAAGTAAAATAGAAAAGAATTTACCATCCTGTTTTACAAATTATAAAGAAACAAGAGTGATACTTGATTGCTTTGAAACAACAATTGAAAAGCCAAAATGTTTAAATTGTAGAATAAGAACTTATTCACACTACAAAGGCAATAATACAATTAAAATGATGGTTGGAATTTCTCCAGATGGTTTGATTACTTTTTTAAGCTCAGTGTATGGTGGAAGAGCGAGTGATAAATTTATTTTTGTCGACAGTGGAATTTTGGACAAATGCACAGAAGGAGATGCTATCATGGTCGATAAAGGTTTCTTAATTGAACAGGAATGTGCTGATAGTGGTGTAAAGTTATTTAGACCACCATTTTTAGGTAAAAAAAAACAGCTGAGTACAAAAGATGGTATTGAAAATGCAGAAATAGCCAGAGCTCGAGTGCACATAGAAAGAGCAATCCAAAGAATAAAAATTTTTAAAATCCTACAACAAAAAGTACCTTGGTCGTTTTTGCCTATTATTGATAAAATTACTACTGTTATCTGTGGGGTCGTTAACATTTCTAGACCAATTATCAGTGAAAGTGGTTTTAATATAGGAAGAAATGATGATTAGTAATTAAACAATTGTACAATTATTTTAGACAAATACAATTTATTAATTAAAACATAACACTGTATTTTATTATTATACATTTTGATTAAGATAAGGTAATACTTGCTTAAAGTACACATCAGTCAAGTGAATAAACATTTGTTTACAAAATACAGGGTCAAAATGAACATCTATAACTATTATTGAATCGTCAACTGAAGCATATATAACTAAATAGGCCATTTTCAAGTTACATAAAAGAAGTCCTAATTGAATTTGACCATAGTATGAATGATTCTTATTCAATGTTAACCTGCATTCATTACTGATTTTTATATATTTAAGTTTTATGATTAAGTCTGATCCACTAAATTTCTTACCAGAAATTGGACATTTTATTTCAATAAGAAAATAGTCATTTAATTTTTCAATAAAACCATCAGGGCTTATTCCTAACCAAGGGCAATTTATGTTTATAAGAAATCCTAGTTTAATGATAGAAATTTCATATTTTTTTTCAAAGGCAGAAATAGCATTATTTTCATTTAATCGACCATAACGGGTTGCAGCATTCCCAGAAAAATTTGAAAATAAAACAGATTTTATTTTAGATTCCCAATCTTTTTTTGCTGTCTTACTTTTAGACTTAGTGAAAAAACTGTATGCTGAAGTTCCAGTAATTCTAATTTGCCTTATTTTTTTCCAATATGGACCACTTTGTTCTTTTGTTTCAAATTAAATTTCTGTAGCTTGAGCTTTGGTAACATCAACATTTGAATAGTAAAAACTGATACTACTTGCATCACACATACAAATATGTGAAGAAAACAATGATTTTTTCATACAAGAGTTATATGAAGTAATAAATCTTTCTATTAGTTTCAATTCAGTAGCCGATATTTTCGGTAAACATATTTCAGATAGCGATTCTATACGTCCAACATGATTCAAAGCAAATGCTGAATTCGGAATTCCTAAACATACAAGAAAAATATTTTGTAAACATTATTATTACCTAACTAAATTAAATTTATGTATATTTTGATTTATTTAACCCAAACAGAACTTCGAAAAGTATTAACTTTGATTGAATCTTTTTTTTTTTAACACTTAGATTTGTTTTTCTAAAACCGTATAATATTTAAATTGTTTACCCTTATATTTATTGGTGAAACCACTATCAACTTTTGATTTTCAAATGGTAACATATAATAAAAATATCATGAATTAATAAAAATATTATACGGTTTTAGAAAAACATAAATCTAAGAGTTAAAAAAAAAAAAGATTCAAAAAAAGGTTAAGCCCACCCCTAAAATAATTAATAACTTTGTAAAAAGTATGAACGAATTTCCTGCTGCAAATCCTCTGATATGTCATTAGGCAATGATTTGTCATATACTGTTGTTGTTGGAAATACATGACAAAACTCTAGAACAGGAACTGGCTTATGTAAATATTTACTAGCGGCTTGACCGAGTTTTCCCCATTGTTGAGGAAGATCTGTACAACTTCGCTCATCAAGTTCTTCTATTGATGTTCTAGGAATATAAAATATTTTAATTTAAAAATTGAATGAAAGATGTAGATTAAAAACTTGGTGTTGACTTATTGATAATTGATATGATCAACTTATTTATATTTATGTGCATAAATGTACATATAATTAAAGCTTACTTTTGAAGTTTGAGCATCAGGCCAACTATGTGTTTGCATTTTCCACTACCTGCTTTGCAAGAACATTTTGCTGACAATTTTACACTTCCATTATTAATAGATTTAATGACTTCTAACTAAATAGGTACAGTAATATTTTGTAAATTAGTAATGGCTATTGTATACTGAAATTAATATTTAAACTTACCTCATGAGGTTTTCCACTAAGATCACTAGTTTTAAGACACATAGCAACGATTTTTAATGTTTTGTTATTATTTTCCACACATCCAAACTCAACAATGTGGTTACAATTCATTACTTGAGTACCCTCAATCAATGGTCGCTTAAAGTCACCAATAAAACTTAAAATGTCTGTTAGCTCAACAACCGAAGTAAACATTTTTTTTAGTTATTGTAATCGAAATAACAAAATAAATAAAATTAGTCATATAAAACAAATCAAATTAATAAATAATATTTAATAATTCAATAATTGCAATTTGAAATTGATTATTATCAGTTATCAGCATACACAGTGGCCCCGTTAGTAAAAGTGACTACAGCGCCCCTATATTTGCTTTCTATCGCGAATAATTAACAAATATTATATTTTTAGGCTATGTTATCACTTATCACAGATTAGTAAATTGTTGTTGTTGTAGTTACAAAATACAAACGCATCACTGAATTATCATAATTTTGTTACTACAATATCGTTGAATTTTTGTGGATTGTTAATAGTAAAAGTATAAATTAAATTAACTTGTTGTTTATGATGGGCAACGATTTAATAGGTTAAATGAGCAGCTATTGATGGAAAAACTATAATGGTTGTGAGTTTTCTCCCTAGAAATGGATATACTGTAAATTTGCTTCTGCTAGTATAGGTACTTATCAAATAAGAAGTAAGTCCATGTTGATGGTCAAGGAATAAATGAAAATATTTAAAAACTCATAAAATCAATTCTATGATATACAATTAGTATATAAACGTTTATTTTAAGATTGTATGTTAATTATACTTGGTGCATGGATCAGTAATGTGTCTAAATCTGTTTAGTCAATTTTCCAACATTTTGCATAGATGGAGATACTGCTTATTCGCTTAGCACGGCAGAATACCCCTCAAATTATTATTAAAAGTGTTGGATTGTTGTGTTTAATTTTTTTTGTCATATTACTAAGTAAAAATTAATTCCAAAAGTGTGTCAAAAACATTCATGATTCTCACATAACGCAATTTTGTTGTATATTACGTTATTGTTTAATATTTGAGATTTTTGATGAAGCTTAAATCTAAAGTATTATTATTTATTTCAAACTAAAATAAAATACCTAGTTCAAATTATATCACACAACATGACGAATTCAATAAATGGATATACCTATGACATTGTAATTGTTTTATATTTGTATTTGCAGAAACGGAAGATGATATCTTATTTACGATTGATAAGGATTTCTAATTTATCACCAAATCTAAAAATCCAAGTAAATTAATTAATAATATGTGTAATTATATCATATATGCCTTAAATCGAATTATACTTCCTTAATATGAGTGTTAAGTGTTAATTCCACATATACGTTTTAATAAAGATTGTCATTAAAACTATAACACAAGTCACAACACCATTTACGTTATTATAATACTATAATTGTGTTTACTTCTGTTTTAGATTAAATTTTTTATGAATCAAATATCAGTTTTTGAATCAAGTGAAATCACGGCTTATGGAATTTTCAATATAAATTTAAACCTTGTTATATCAGTTAGTATACTTAGTATGCATATCAGTAACTTAGTAATTTTTTGTATTTAAAAAAAAATATATTTCATTTCAATACGAGTATTATCTTATAATGATATATAAAATTAAAAAATTGTATTTTTCTTTACAGATAATAATTTTACTTATTACTGGTTTAGTAACAATAATACAAATGAAGGAACACCCAATTATGTTGAATATAAAACAAGATTTCAATAAGTTGATGCAAAAATTGATTAACGACACTGCGTGAAGTGAATAATAATATTAACATATTTCTTAACTATTTTCTTAACTTTTTAATTCATTGTATAAGATAAAATAGGTCTTCAACTTTATTTTACGATTTATTACTACGATTATTAAGATTATGCGTCGGAACTTTGGTCTATTAGCCTGTGTTAATATAATTTTTTGTTACAGATTTCCTCAGTAGGTTATTAGTTATGTTTGTTTAATAATGTCTTATTCCATTATTTTTTTTTATTAAAATTCATAAATTATAATTTCAAATTAAATTTTTTTTTTGATTAATTTTTTTTTATATACATACATATTACATTATTACATACATAAATCATACACATCCATACACTATACACTGCTTTCATAAAATAATATAAACACATACAAATAGACGCCCTATTAGAGCATACGGTACATTTAGGTATACATCATACAAACCCAACACAGACCACCCACATACACACACCCGCCACCCATCCCCACGACTACTTACATATATATAATATATAGTATATGTTTACAAACATACATATTTTTTTTATGAATGCATTTAAAAGTTTTAATTAAAAATGCTACATGATATAAATTATAAATTCATCGTTTTTTTATACATGATTATAATTTAGTTTGCTTGAGAAAATTAATTAAGTCTAGGTTTTGTTTGTGATTGAGTCCGAGTGTGGTGTCAAGGTTGTGACGTATGAGGGTTATAGTTTAATTTCTAGTTTCTAAGGTCATGATAATATTTAATAGGATATAGTTATAGCTTCGGCTGTGGGTATGGAACAATTGATTTATAATTTGTGTAGTTGTTTTTTATTCGGAAATATGGAAAATCAAACTACTTCTTATTGAATTTTTGATCCATCTGTGTGTACTTCATGGAAGTCTTTCTAGTTTTTAAGTATGCTTTTAATTAGGGTTTGAATGTATTGAAAGAGGTTTGGTATTTAGATAGGGTGTTGAGTTTGATATTATAATTTGGTATGTGAAGGTCCAAGGAAGTTGGGTATTTTGTCTTTAGTTTTTTTTAGTTATTATAATCTTGTTGTCTTTCATTTATTTCGTATATATACTGCTGTTTTTTTCATGGAAAGTATTGTTGAATTTGGAAGACTATACCTATTTAGGTCTATTTTCAATCTTTTTATATCGGGTAATATAGCTTCCATGTGTAGATTTAAAATACTGGGTAACTGCGTAAAGCTTCAATTGCCAGTCTCAAACCACTGTTGTTGACACTTATCAACTAGATGAAAAGTAAGGATCACTAAAAAATAGATAGGTATCATCAAAGTTATTACAGTTTCTTCAGTATGCGCATTTCCTTCACCACTAGCCCATGTCATAGTTCTCCACTTCTAATTAGTTGATTTATTTCTATGTTATCTATGTGTGTATAATGTATATAAATACAACCAATGAGAAGTGGACAACTACGATATAGGTGAAGTAAAAAGGGAATAAAGAGTATCGAATAATGATCTATCTATTTTGTCATAGTCATTTTGTCCAGTCTCAGTTCGCTGTTGTTGACAGTTTATTCTAACTAGACGATTACTAAAGATTTTGGTAGTTTATGTCCTGTAAGTCGTTATAAAATCAAACCAACAGATACTAATTGATTTAAAATTATTAAATCTTAGTCAATGAAATACACATAATAAATATTAGATGTATTTTTAAAATTGTTAATTTTGTATATGAATAACCTCCGTTCTTAATCAAGTAAGGTCTAAATCTATGACTACGTCAGTACGTCACTTTAATAGCTAAAAAAGGATAAACAATATTCTAAAATCAGGCTCAGTAAGACAATGTCTAGCACCCTACGTCTCCACTTCTAAGATTTAGGTAAGTCATGTACTACGCCAAAGCCTTTCATGTTTCATCCCTTACATAGGTCCACACTCAGCACAAGCAAGAAGAAGATTCTAAGAAAGAATAGTTTAAATTATTTTGTCTTCAAATGTATTACGCATTTTTACCAAGAATATTGCATATATAATGGTGGTTAATTTAAAAGTAAAACTTTAAATACATTATATTATTTGACTAAATTAAACAAATGTCAATAAAATTATCACTGTTCAGCCATATTTTAGTCCTGGCGGCCAAGACGTGTTACAAAATAAATAATCGCATGTTCGAGTAATCGTATGGAGTTCGTTTCTATAAAAAATATACAGTGCTTCAGTGCTTAAAAAAAATTAAATTATACCAGCAAATATAAAAATCTGGGCCACATGACACCACAGACTACCCACCTCACTCCTATAAGGAACGGTACACAGACAACTATAAACAATGTATACATAACACATAACACATGCACATCAAATGCCATTGAATTATTTGCTATTATAATTAACAAAGTAAAAATCGCACCACATCTTAATTAATATTTTGCTGATTTTGTCAATAGTGAAAAAATAATGATTATTAACTTACTTAAATAAATAGTAATTATTAATAAAAGTGTTGTATTTTCTATAAACTTTTCAATTATTTCAATTGTTTGGAACAATTGAATTTATAATTATATAATAATTGAATTATACTAACAAAAACTGTTTATAACAAACAAACGTTTTATTTAAAAATTAAGAATTTAAAAACCTTTTCTTAAAATGAATAATGTTTATAATAAAACATTAAGGATTATTTTATATTTGTGCAAATTTATTGGCATCATTAGATATTAGAATCGGATGGATCAATAATAAAAAGTATAGAGATAATCTATAAGTGTCTTGAATATACACGGACGATTATTTTAATGACATACATTTATCTATTCATTCTATTCATTTGGTTATATCAGTTCTGAAGGAAACACAAGGAGAGAATTGCACGAAAATAAGATCATCACCTAATAAGAAACAACCTTTAGATCACACTATCAACGAACATAATATTGAATATTTGAAATTGATTATTATTTATTTATTATTAATCCGGGCATGGATTTACGTTACAACCAATAGATGGTTTACTGTTAGGAGTATATAATTATACGCCTATGGGTGGTTCGTCTTATATTGCACTTCCAGATGACATGAAAAATAAAAAAGCAATTATCAATCCCCAAAACTCAGACCAACAGTGCTTCAAGTGGGCAATTCTGGCAAGACACGTTTCGGGTAATGCCAAAAATCAAGTGGCTGAAAATTATACATCGCTCGAGGACAAATATAATTTTTCTGATATAACATTCCCAACACCTGTGAGGGAAATAAAAACATTTGAAAAAAATAATCCTAAAATATCAGTCAACGTTTATGGATTAAAAAAAGAAAAGAATAAGAAACATATTGTTTATCCACTTAAGGTTGTGGATGAAGAAAAAAAGGTCATTTCGATCTCTTGCTAATTACCGACGAAGATAAAAGCCACCATACCTACATTTCTAATTTTTCTCATCTTGTTAGAATACAAAAACATCACATAACGGTCATGTAACTTTATGCAGACGCTGTTCACATCGTTCGATAATCAAACTAGGAAAATTACATTTAGAGGACAAACAGCACTTGATCAACACACCCGGATATATGGAACACATAAACCAATTTTACCTCAGATGCCTGATGCCGGTACATTGTTAGAGTTCGATGGGTGGAGTAACATTCAAAGCATCCGTTCGCGATATATGCCGATTTCGAGTCACTCCTTGTTAAGTGTACAGAATGCAAAGGTGCAAATACAAAAGCTATTCAAAAACACGAACCAATGAGCTTTGGATATTTCGTAGAAGCTACAGAAAACATACGGATTGATTTGCTTGAGAAATATGAGATACCAACATCACCTATTATTTATTACGGAAGCGAGTCACATCAGAATGTAGCCAAGCGTTTCGTTAATGAAGTGACAGATATCACGGGAAGAGTTCAAGATTTACTTAATAAAAATAAACCCATCATTATGACAAAAGAAGAGCAAATAGCACATGCAATAAAAATGACATGCAATTTTTGTAAATGTATTTTTTCCGACAAAAACCAAAAGGATCCAGATCACTGCCATCCATCAGATAAATCTGGACAAACTTTATGTAATAATTGCAATATGAAACTCCAAAAATGTAACTTTGTACCATGCTTTCTCCACAATTTGTCTAATTAAGGTGCACATTTTATCGTGACTGAAATCGAAAATGACACTAAATCAATCTCTGTGATTCCGAACAGCGAGGAAAAATACATTTAATTTTCAAAACACGTTACGAACAACTTGTCAATTCGATCCATAGACTTTTGTCGATTTATTACATCAAAGTTATCAACACTCGCAGAAAATTTATTAACACCAGAGTTCGAGAAGTTCAGAGAAACCGCAAAAGCATTCGTACCCAGAGATATGGATCTCGTAACACGTAAGAGTATGTACCTTTACGCGTTGACCGGTAGTTGGGAAAAATTAGAAGAAACAATTTTACCTCGGAAAGAAGATTTTTATAGCGGAAGAACATATAGACGATACAGAATACGAACATACAGTCACAGTATAGAACCATTTAAAATGCAAAACCCTGGGAGAATATAGCGATTTATATCTAAAAATTGACGTGATACTGTTGGCGGACGTATTTGAAAATTTCAGAGACATGTGCATTTATACACACAATTTAGACCCTGTTTTCTACTATACAGATCTAGGTTTTAGTTTTGACTGTATGTTAAAATATACCAAGGTCAAACTAGACTTGCTCTCTGATTATGACACCCACTTATTTTTCAAAAACTCAATCCACGGAGGCTTCACACAAGCTAGTTTGAAGTACGCTAAAGCTAATAATGAAAAAACCCAAGATTATAACCCATCAAAGCCTAAATCATGGGTAGTGTCTAACCTAACCTTGCAACAACTTGTACGGATGGGCAATGTCGCAGTACATGCCACGCGGAGACTTATATGGGTTGAGCCTAAGTTAAACGAATTAGATGCATTCACACCAACGTCAGATATAGGCAGAGTATATGAAGTAGACATAGCATACCCTAATGAACTGCATAACTTACATAACGATCTTCCATTTTTACCCGAGAACAAATTTTCTCCTGGTTCAAAAGTGAAAAAACTTATGGCTACACTTCATTCAAAAAAAAAAATTACTCAATCAATTATTGCAACCTGCAGCAAGCCATAGCAAATGGATTGATTGTAGAAAAAGTACACAGAGTTTTAGAATTCAAACAATCGGATTGGCTTGCAAAATACATTAAATTAAACACCGTAATGAAGAAGAAGGCGGAGAATGAATTCGAAAAAGATTTCTTCAAACTCTTAAACAATGCCGCTTTTGGTAAAACCATGAAATCTTTATGGTAACGTTTTAAGATGGAGCTAGTTTTATGTCCAAAAAGATTATAAAAACTCATCAACAAGCAAACATTTAAACATTGTACGACATACAGCAAAAATCTAGTGACTGTCTCATTGGAAAACAAAATTATCATATTTAACACGTCAATATACACAGGTATTAATTTTACTTTTAAAAAAAAAGTTTCATATCTTAGCATTTTTAATTTTTAATTATTTATTTAGGTTTCACAGTACTGGATATTAGTAAAACTATAATAGACGAGTACCGCTATAATGCAATGATGGCGTATTATGGTGACAATATCATATTAATGTACACAGATACAGGTATATTTTGAATTATTATTATTTTTATTATTAATATTGTATTCATATATTTTGGTTTCTCAGATTCGTTAGTATACTACACACTGATAGACGACTTTTATGAAGACTTGGTTGTTAATCCAAACTTGCTGGACCGGATGGACACATCAGACCTTCCCGAAGACCATTCATGTTTCACCAGTGCGAGGAAGAAGATTCCAGGGTTGTTTTTCGATGAGAAAAAAGGACAACCCATTACTGAGTTTATCATTCTTCGAGCAAAGGCATACGCTTACATTTTAATCGACAAGGAGAAAATTAAGGCAAAAAGCGTCCTAGGTCATGTAGTTAAGAATCATTAGACTTTCAAAGATCATTTCGATTGTCTTTCCTCCGATGATGAAAAAAAAGACAGGTTGTGATTGTCATAATATGACTTTATCTTATGACTATGACTTCATCTGTCACGGGGAAGATGAAGTAACCTGTCTTTTTTTTCTTAATAATTAATTTTCTCAGTCTAACCTAAATAAAACTACCCTAACTTAACCCAGGATAGGCGAAATGGGAAATATAGTCGTGTACCTGAGCGAGTGGCGGACAAAGGTAATCCAGAACATATGAATCTAACCTATTATAAACAACCTAATTCAATCCGTATGAATGATAATTATGCATGTATGTAATGTTCAATCTTTATGTACTCGTAGCTCAAATTAAAAAAATAACGCTCGAAATATTATTTAATCATACTTGGTTATAACATTGAATATAACCATCGATGATCTGAACGATGATATAAATTTAAAATAAAAATGTATCTGTTTACATTAGACTTATTTTGTCGGTGAAATGAATCTTTGATAATATTTTGAATATTTTTATTGCCATGTATTTTATAATTTAAAACTGTTAATTTTATTTTATTAAAACTAAAACTGGTGCTTATAATCAATTTTATTTTATTTTTAATATTTCCTCAATGGTATTTACTCTTACAAAGTTTTCCATTATGATAATTACCAGATGTCTATTAAAATATGGTCCCAGAGTAGCATTTTTAACATCACTGAGGTAGCCATCAATCCAATATCCAGTTATAGAATAAGAAACAAATTTTTTTGGTATAAGTAATGGTTTATAACTTCATGAGTAATAGGCTTATTTTAGATATATCTCATAGTTGTACAATGTTCAAAACTTATATTTGATAATTTTGAATTTAGCAATATGATTTATAGTAGAAATAATTAAAAATAATTTATAAATACCAAACTATTACAATAAAGTTATTTGAAATTTTTAAATTACTATAAATAAGTTAAGGACACCTATTTATAATTTTCGCCTAATAAACTCACATAGTTTAAGAAGAAACTTTAGAACCAGTACTAGTTTTGGAATATTCAGGAAAACAATATCAAGGAGCACAGATTAAAAATAAACACTAACAATGTCTAAACTACAGAGACTAATTTGAACCGATAATTAACTAACCTAACCTATTGGTGGTTGGAGGATGAAGGAATGTCTTTACAAAGGCTACAGCCTATTTGCGCCCCAGAGTAGTACATTTGCGCCCCGAGGGATATGGACAGATGCGCCCGAAAGATAAGGTACTACCTGCCGATTTATAGCCCATATGCGCCCATTTCGTATGCAACGTTGCCGTTGTGATTCATATTATTATAGACTATATTTATCTTGATAAATAACTTAAATTATTTAGATTACCTAGTAGATTATATTATAATCTACTAATTGTGCAGTTATTATTTATTTTATTATTATTTACTGTAGTAATAATTCATCTCACATAAAATTATATAAATAAAATAAATATTTCAAATTAAAAAAAAAAAAAAATTTCGGAAAATATAATATAAGGTTGAGTACATGCAATTATTATAAAAATTAATACTGTTGATTTTTCTCACACGTCATATATAATAATAAAAAATATTTTATCATAAGTTAAACCTTAAGGTAATATAATAATAAGTTCATATTTATATTTCAAAAATGTTAAAAAAAAATTAAATAAAAATTAATAATGTTGATTTTTTCACATGTCATATAAGGTATGTCTCATATATGTCTCATATATGGTAATAAGTAGTATTGCTTGGTATTCCAGAATACAGTTTGGCAACGTTGCACGGGTTTAACACATTTTCACGAAAAATATTTCGGGCGCAAATGGGTTATGATTTCGGGCGCAAGTGGGTTATAAAAAATGTGTGATGGGCGCAAATGGTTTGCACCGTTTACAAACTCCTAATACAATTTAAGGAAAACTCCGGAAGCAATAGAGTAGGTACCACCTAGCTGTGGTTCATCACAAAAAAAAAAGGGTACCACCTAGTTGAAAGCATCGTAATATGGTACAGAATATCAATAACAAACTACTAAAGAATGAATCATTTGGAATCCCGAAATAATAAGTTGGGGTTTCGGTAGGTATGTCCAAATACTACGCACAAGCATTCAAGCAAAAACAAATGGCATAATTTAATGCCAAATATTCTTAGTTTCTGTGGCACCCCAAATTAATGTTCTTGTATTCATTATGGGTGTAGCATACAAGATAAAACTGTGACACGAACAATAATACAAACGTAGTATAAATGAAAACCCTCACTGAAAATATTTAAGGTTGGGACCAGAGAACTTCACATTTTTTAAGTAATTAGTTGAATCTTCATGCAACCGAAAAAACCACCACAACTGAAAAGGTTAGAACAAAACAAAAAAACCACCACCGTTGCAGAAGTTTCGGTTAGGTATTGTTGCAGTCAAATCAATTGTAGAATAGAAATTTTATTTTCTTAATTTTTAATTCATATCATTGTATACCTTCTAATTTATTATCAGCCATAATGACAAAATAGTACCATGAACTAGATATTGAATTCCTTTATTTTTTAATTTCTGTAATAACCTAATAAAATGAATAACTTTATATATTAAGGAGATCGGTGAGTGCGGTGACGACTGTCTTTGTCTAACACACGCGCAACATAAGAATTCAGAGGTGTTTTTTGGCAAACGTACCGATTGATAAAGTGAAGCGATAGGAATCTGAAAACACATTTGAATTTGTCGTCAAGTCTACTTGAGATCGGTCAGTCTACATTTTTGATTTTAGATTATGAGTGAAACGATAAAAATAAAATAAAAAAAACATTCATCGTTTCACTGAGAATCTAAAATCAAAAATGTAGACTGACCGATCTCAAGTAGACTTGACGACAAATTCAAATGTGTTTTCAGAATTCCTATCGCTTCACTTTATCAATCGGTACGTTTGCCAAAAAACACCTCTGAATTCTTATGTTGCGCGTGTGTTAGACAAAGACAGTCGTCACCGCCACCGATCCCCTTAAATTCCATCATATAATATAATTATTAGTAGTTAGTACATAATCAACATAAATTGAAATAATGAATAAGCGTGACTCCCATCTGTTTGGTTAGGTTGGGTTTAATCT